AGCCCCCAGAATGAGTGTGGGAAGGTGAAGAGGATGAGGCTGGCACCACCCTAAGGAATTCGTAGTGTTTGCTTGCTGGCTTGGGAAGTTTAGATTCAGTCTGGTGAGATTCTGTCTTGTAGGGAGAAGCTAATAAATGCAATAGAACTGTAACTGTACTGTCTTGTGGAGTTCTTTGGGCTGAACCTGACACTAACAATCTTAATGTTGTAGAACTTGATCTCTTTTCATTTCTTTTTTGCCCCTTCTCATCAGATTCATCCAAGGTTTAACAAACCTCCTTTATAAATCCATTTGGGGAGACTTTACTACATACCTTTAAAAACATCTGATACACATAACCTGAATGGTTTATCAATTGATCTCTGGGGTGGCTTGAAAGAATCTGTAAATAAATCAATATACATTTTGTTAACAAACATATATTTTACTTGGAGCCTTATATGGTTTGTTGGTACTGTGTTTGTAGCAGTTTTCAAACCTTAGAAGTTGTATGTACCTACCAATTTGTTCTAGCAGACATTTTCCTCTGTACCATTTGGCCAGTTCACTTGATTGACTTTTTGTAACAAGATTTTCACCACCAAGTCCACTGGTAGGGATGTAAGCTACATCTGATTCCTGGTTGAATTAAATGTTTAATTTGCAATGCGAAATTAATAATCAACTTTATATTATTAAATGCAAACATCTGAATTCAAATTAAGAATAATTGCTTTTTCAGGAAAGAGTTTTTAAAACTTCATTTAATAAAGTTAACTGATACAGTTTCAAATTCAGAGACAACTAAGACCATTTTAAAAAGCAATAGAGCTGTAGAAATCATTTGAATCACTGTTCCCTGTACTGTTGAGATGGTCATATTCTCTTAAAGATTCAGCATAACCATCCCTGTGTCTGTACAAAAGGCATTTTTGTCCTGACTGATTCAATTTCTAAAACGTGCTTTGGGGCAATTTTTGAAAGCAGATGCAACTTTTCCCTGCATCATTCAGCCACCATAGATTATAATCATAATGCACAATCTATGCTGGGAAATGGATTGGAGGCGTACGGCCCACCTAACTCTCAAAGGCATCATGGCAACTTTCAGTACCATCAACCATGATACTTTTTTAAACTGTCTGGAGAGAGCTGATTTTAAAGGCACTATTTTGTAGTTGCTCTCGTCTTTCTTACAGGGACATGACCAGAAGGTGATTTGGGAGGACCAGTCCTTGACACCTTTATTGGCCCACAGTATCCCAGAGTCTCCGGCTTGCCCCACCAATTGTTCATTAACTACATGAAACCATTGGGAGAGGTTAATACAGAAATGACACCTAATTCTACTGTTCCTTGCCATCCAAACCAATGAAGTAATTGATACTCTTGAAAGTTGTCTAAATTAGTTTAGAAGCTAGAAGGGAAAGAATAAATCCAGATAATACAGAAACACTATTGGTAAATAGTGTAGTTCAGTCTGTTTTGGATGAGTTTACATCCCATCTAGAAAGCAAAGTCAGTGGTTTGGGAATGTTCCTTGATCCTCTGGGACATCATTCCCCAAGGTGAGATTAGCCCTGACCCTATTGGCATTTAGGAAATCCCTCAAAACCTGGTTCTTTCAACAGGCTTGGGGATTCCAGGGAAATAGGGAGCCTACAAGTTGGCTACACTGCGTATAGGATGCTGGTCCATTCTCCTGGATTCTTATTTATATCTGTGTTTTAAACTGTTTTAAAATTTTAATTGTTGTATTATATTGTTGTTTTATAATTGTTTGACCTGATTGTTTTATTGTATGCTGCCCAGAGTCATATGAAGTACATGGCTAAATTAATTAATTAATTAAATTATCAGCAGTCATTAGATTCACAAGTGGTGGCTGTGGTGAGGAGTAATTTTGCACAATTATAGCCAGTGGAGGAACCGCAACCATTCCTGATTTGTTTAGATTTGTCTATCCAATCCATGCCTTGGTTATATTCCATTTTGACCACCACAACACAATTTTCACATGCTTCCCTTGAAAAGCGTATGCATGTTTCAAATAGTACAAACGTGGCAGCTACTGCTACTCACCACAAAGTACCAGGATGCTGATTCCTGTACTGAAAGACCTGTAATGATTGCCACTTGCTTATCAGGCACAATCTAAGGTGCTAGTATTGACCTTTAAAGCCTTAATGATTCAGAGCTGGCTATCTAAAGGGCCACTTCTCCAATTAAAAACCTGCATTTAGTTATGCAGGAGAGACTTTTGGGAAGGTGCCCCTGCTTAGCAGAGGCTTGTCTCCCTAGTGCAGTGCAGAGTACCTTCTTCTCCACTGCTCTCAGCCTATGGAATACATTCTCTTGGGAGCTGAATCTGACCCCATACTCTTCTCCTTTAGAAGAACAGACAAGATGCCCCTCTTTTACCAGGCTCTTAATTGTCAACTAAGGATTCTTAACATGATACTGCGTGTATTTGAATTTTTATTTTCTGCACTCCACATTTTACTGATAGCTGCAAAGTGTGTTCCAACTGAGTAGCAAGGCAGGATACAACTCAAATAAATAAAGTAATATAATAACATTTTCTTTACCTTAAAGCCAGCTTGCTTAAGGAATTGTCCAAGTTTATTGACAATTTCCTGAAATCGTTCCTGTTGCCAATTGACCTATAATATAAACATAATACATTACTGAGAAATGGGAAAGTATTTGGACATTACTCCCAGTACATATGAGAATGATCTTTTACTAATGAAGAAATATCATTAGTGTTAAGAACCTCCCCCTTGCTGCTTTGCTTGATCAAATTAAGATGGCAACTTAGTGGAAAATGTGATGAAAATTCTAAAATGTCTGCATTCAAGTGCCAGCTCAATTTAAAAATGCATGTGGAAGTGAACTTTATTTGGCATTTCTTTAAGGAATGCTATTAATTGCAACAATATAACAACATAATATGATTTTTCTAGGAGGTCAGCTGTATCAACCTATGTTTCATAACAAAACAAATTTAAGAATTCAATGCTTTAATTTTAAAATATTGGATTGATCATAGTGTAACAAAGCAAAAAAAATTAAGCATACTGCAGAAATTAGCACACTAGCATAGGTATAGCTAATCTACCATTAAATAGGAGATACAAGTAAATATTTTATTTATATATCTGCTTACACCATTTTCTTCTATTTTAGGTTTTATTTTTTTCAAAAGATACTAGAGATTAAGTTCAAAGTGAATATTATTTAAAATCTCTCTCTTCCTCTAGGTTCCCTTCATGCATATTTATAAAAGAAAATTTCAAGAAAAAATATCAAGGAAATACCTGATCCATTTTATTGACTGCAACTGCTAGCTGTGTTACTCCCAGTGATCGAACTAAGAGACCATGTTCTCGTGTCTGTCCACCAGTCTCAAAACCAGCTTCAAATTCCCCTCTGCTGGCATCCACCACTAATACAGCCACATCAGCCTACAGAAAACCACTGGTTCAATTATATTTCTTGGGTATCTGTTAACCAAGCACATCTAACATGCCTTTCATTTCTTTTTCTTTGTTGTCTTATCCTAAATATAGGCTTACTTAAATCACTTCAAATGGAACACTACAACATTTTTCATTTTGTTGATAGAATTATAGATTGCAAAAATAACATTTTACAATACCCCCAGTAAAGTAATAGATGTTTAAAGAATAATTTATTCCCATTTACTGTCACAATAAAATTTACATCCATAATATAATAAGGTGAAATGGAACTGCCAGTGAATGCTACAGTTCAATCTGTTACTGCTTTATGTATGACAGGTGATACTAAGAAAGGCTTTACCTGGGCAGCTCCTGTTATCATATTTGGAATGAAGTCTTTATGGCCAGGAGCATCCATTAGTGTAATAACTTTTGTCTTTGTCTCAAACTTGGTCATTCCTACATCCATTGTCACTCCCCTACAAACAATGAACAGGCAAACAATATATCATTTACAATAATGTTCAAAGTTAATCAGTATATCCACATCTCCTTTTTCTATATATAATTTTTATTAAAGATTTTCACAGAAATAAAAAATAAACATGAAATGATATAAAGATTAAGGATTACTTTTTACTGTGTGAAAAGTAGTACAAATAGGAAAAAAAAGAAAAAAATATATAGAAGTGACTTCCAATCTTCTTTACAGCAGTTACAAACTTATTATCTCTCCTCCCTCTTTAAAGATACATCATAACACACTTCTTCCCATATTCAACCCTTTTTAATCAGCAAATCTATAAATCACCAGTCCATTTTTTTTCCCCCCATATCCAGCAAGAAGTCCAGAAGAGATTTCCGGTCTGTCGTATATTCACATGTCCCTGATGAACCAGTATCAAAAGTATCCCGCAGAATGTGAGGATTACACAAGAGACTGAGTAAAAACTGCAAAATATCACTGAAGTGATAGTAATGGCATTCACACCACTTTTAAAATCAAAATTACATGATACAGCTAAGTTGGGACAGTTGGTGCAGTAAATGATTCTGGGACCTGACATGGTCTCAGATAAAAGCATATGATATCAGAAAATCAACTATAATTGTGATATGAATAAATATGCATTGATCTGCATTTTGGCCTATATGTTGGATCACATGAAAAATGTATCCCACCCAAAGGATTTCTATCTCATGCATCACTTCCAGCAATTCATTCCTTATTCGGCAATGGAGGATTCAAACATTCCCAGAAGTTATCTGGTATCAATAGCCTAATAATAATATTCCTCTAACTCTATCTGAATCTACTGTGGGGTCCCTCAGTAAACGAACATTTCCTGCAGGCAGAAAAATACTACCCTAAAATTATGTGTAATGAGTTTCCTGTAAAAACCATAGCTTTATATCATAATTGGGCAAAGTGTAATCATATATATATCCTGACTTAACAGTACACAGAAACCTCAAAAACGACATTGCTGTTACCACTGCTACCACAGACAATTTTCATCTAAAGGGGTAGTTTTTCTCACCTTTCTCTCTCTTCCCCCGTTTCATCTAAGACCCATGCATAAGCAAATGATGCTTTTCCAGCTTTCTTTGATTCTTGCTCGTATTTGTGCATAGTTCGCTTGTTCACATTACCCAGAAGATACAACAAATGACCCATTAAAGTACTTTTCCCTGCATCAACATGTCCTAAAAAGAAACAGTGCATTATTATCACTGATTAATTTATTTTAGAAGACGTTCAAGATCTGCAGATGAAGTGAGGAACTATAGATATTTTTCATTTTCCCACCAAAATAGATGTACCTATTACTACAAGGTTAAGCAAATGCTTTCCTCCTTGTCTCTTTTCCAACTCAGCTTTTACATCTAATTGTTGTTTGGCTTTTCCAGACTTTTTCACAGGAGTTGGTACCACTGATGGGTCTTCTGATGCTTGAATGGTCTGGGAGGGAAAAGTTGATTTAGGCAGTATCTCAGCTATCCCCATATTTGCAATGGCATCACCAGCAGAGAATCCTTTTTGTGGCATAAAGGTATTATGTCCATTCTCTTCCACATTTGCACTACAGAAAGCAGAGAATGAATTTGAGAATACATATTTCAAAAGACTACAGAACAAATAAAATTATCTATATATGGTATTTACAATCTCAGAATGAAGAAAAATGACAACAGACAGTGATTTAACTATAACTATTTGATAAGCTCTTCTCTATATGGGACTATGGTGAAAAAATATTCCTCTTTTATTTTACTAAGCTTCAGATAAGATGTAGAATTATATGGGTGTTTTTCCCTCACCTCATCACAAAAGCATTCAGATGGCTTACAAAATTATTATATTCTAACCATGCTAAGTTATTATTTGACAAACATCCTCTCCATTCACCCACTGAGTTGCTTGTCTTGAGATGTAGTCTTAGAAAAGTTAAATAACACGTCATGCATTAGTTACGTTGCTGTAATGAGTTATAAAGAGCTCCTTCTGAAGAGACAGGATACAATGTCCAGCCCACATGGAGTTCTCATTCATCTCAACCAGACATTTCCTATATTCCAAGGTGTAACAAGGGGCAATTCTAAAATGTGTTATTGTTTCAAACTTGAAAAAGGAGTGTACATATAGGATGGCACACTTTGGAAAAAATGGTGTGTTATGGTGGAATTATAATGAGGTAGCACATTTGTAATTATTATAAATACCAATTTGGAAACCAAAACAAAGGCAGAAATATAAAAACTCATGTCATGCTTTAAAGCTAAAAAGCTGTTTTAATAGGAATGGTTTTACTTCTGTCTTATATTGTTATTAAAGTTCCTTAGTCCAGGCCTTAAATTTAGGAAACAAGATAGCATATTCAGGATCTCTTAACCTCTGCGGCACAAATAATCTGTGTTAATTTAGCCTAGTTATATGTTCTGGGTTAAGAACATGAATTTAAATACCTATGGAATAACTAAGCTTCACTTAATCCTGTACTCTTTCCAAGAATGTAGGGAACCAACAGATAAGGCAAGATCCCAGCAGGGGAAAATGATATTTCTTCTATTCACCACTGTGTTGCAGCATCAAATACTAGTATAAATATGAAATGGTGGTGCCTTTGTGAAGCAGGAATCCAATTATACTCAGACCTATAGTAGGAACTAGCAATTGGTGGCATTTTGTTCACATATGATACATTAAGAAACACTGAATATTGAATTCCTCAGGAGTCTTTTTCCTTCATTTTCATTTTTTCATTCTGGCACAAATAAATTAATGTTTCTACCCTGTTGTTTGTGTCAGCGAGGCCTCTGTCTCATATCTTAAAATTTACCTTATACACTCAGTTTTTCTTCCTTCTATACTTCTTGCTGATGTCGAGCATAAGGAAAACTTTTGTGCTGATCTATGGATTAGAAATTCCTCTCCACTAAAATTTTATCTTGCCCTCATGATGACCTTTAATTTAAGGTTACATTTAACCAATCTATGTAACTATCAGTTATAAGGTAGTAAAGACTGGACATGTGCAGAACAGAACAGAACAGGCAATTTGTGTGCAGGCCATATCCAGACTAAACCCAGGTTAGGTCTGAAAGGAAGGGATGGGAAGATAGAGCTATTTAGGTAAGGTTGGTTGAATACAAGTACAGCACAGGCAGTGGTGGCATGCAACTAAAGGGAAGAAAGGGAAAGAAAAAGGCAAGAAGATCAAAGGAGGGGCAGATGCACAGACCACATGGAGGAAGAGAGAAAGGGTGAGGTGCACCAATCCTGCCCTACTCATTCCATTAGATTCCTTCATATTCATTTTAGCTAATATTTGGAACTGTTAAATATTTGGAGCTGTTAAAGTGCTGCACTCAATATGCCAACGAGTTTGGAAAACTCAACAGTGGCCACGGGATTGGAAAAAGTCAGTTCACGTTCCAATTCCAAAGAAGGGCAATGCCAAAGAATGCTCAAACTACCGGACAATTGCACTCATTTCACATGCTAGCAAGGTTATGCTCAAAATCCTACAAGCTAGGCTTCAGCAGTACATGAACTGAGAACTACTGTATGTACAAGCTGGGTTTTGAAGAGGCAGAGGAACTAGAGATCAAATTGCCAACATTCGCTGGATCATAGAGAAAGCACAAGAATTCCAG